GCTCGGAGGTGGCTGGATACCTCCTTTTATATTTCCACTTCAAGCGAGACAGGCACGTTCCCACTCACTCCTGAGGCTTTCATCTTGTCATGCAGCGTGTGTTAGCGGCTCAGCTGCTTTGGACTCTTTTCTCCCTGTGCCTGCCCGCCTTATGGGGGGGGGGAGGAAGGGAGGAGGGAAGAGTGACTGCGGTGCTTGATTCTTGCCAATAGGATCTGATTGACTGGCTTTTAATCTTAGAGCTTTATCTCCCTGCTGCCAAGTTACAGTGAAGTGGATTCTTAGAAGCAGGAAAGCTTGGAGCAGCGGGTGGCTCCGAGAACGGCTGGGAGGCTGTTTTCTACCACTGGCAGTGGAGGGGAGGGTGACGCCCAATAAGAATTCTTCAATCACGATGCAACGTGCAATTCTAGGCCTTTTGCTTAAGTTGGCTTGGTTCTGCATAAAGAAGGGATGAGGAGCCCGTCCCCCCCCCAACCAGCTGGATCCCAACTCCCATAATATGTGACCATTGGCCATACTGACTGATGGAAGGAATCCAGCTACAACTGGAGGGTCACAGGTTGCCTATCTCCGGCATAAAATCTTATTCCAGGATTCAGGGTTCCAAATACAGTGGTACCTCATGTTAAGTACTTAATTCGTTCCAGAGGTCCGTACTTAACCTGAAACTGTTCTTAACCTGAAGCACCACTTTAGCTAATGGGGCCTCCTGCTGCCGCCGTGCTGCTGGAGCACAATTTCTGTTCTAATCCTGAAGCAAATTTCTTAACCTGAAGCACTATTTCTGGATTAGCGGAGTCTGTAACCTGAAGCATATGTAATCTGAAGCGTATGTAACCTGAGGTACCACTGTAAAGTGGATTTTGGGGACTAGAAAACAACATATGAATGCAAGAACATTGTGTCAGGCCAAGGGCTTCCTCTTGTCCAATGCTGCTTCAAATGTATGCTCCAAATCTCTCAAAACTAGCTCTCCAACACAAGCATTAAAATATATGCAGACAGCAAGGTTTTCCTTTTGCTTTCAGGCTTGCTAAAAGCCACCATAACATACAGTTAAAAGGAGCAGCCAAGTCCTCGTAACCCCAAGAAGGGAGAAGAGGAAGACAGCACCACAGTGTGGCCACAATCCTGCAAGCCTGCTTATGTGTGCACAAGGAACTGCAAATGTGCAGAAATGCACTAAGGGGTTCTTTTTTTCTTTTCTGAACAGCAGAAACCTCCTTCCTCGCCATACACAATCTGCATTGCAGCATGCTTTTAAACAAGCCTCGTGCTCATCTCTGGATGACAGTCCCAGAAGCCAAGTCTTGACCACCAGGGACAGCTGAAGAATATCGATTAAGGGGGCCTTTGCCCCACATGTCCAATAAACAGAGCAGGCTGTTCTTGGAAGGCAGCTGAGACTGCAGGGGAAATTGTACAAAGCTCTAAACATAATTTCTCACCATAACCCTAACAACAAGCCTGTAAGGTGGACCAATGTTACAATATTCATATTGCTGGAAGGAGGCAGAGGCTGAAAGAGGGTCTCTGTTGCTGAGGTCCGAGACTTCACCTGGGGTTGACCAAAAACTTCTAAGGCTCAACTAAAATGTTGCCCCTCTAATTCTGCCAATCCATTTGCAAGTGGTAGGCCGAGGGAATTTTTTTGGTGATTTTCAGGAGTGGGGACAAAACTGGCGACAAATCTACATCATTCTGAGGGGGCAGGGGACAAGGGTGGGTCACTGAGAGGATTGCCACAAGAGACAGCAAACATAGTGGGCCCCAGGGTGGTGGAATGCTGGGAAGCTTTCACTCCACCCTAGGGCCTCCCTACCTTAAATTCTGAAAGTTTGCCAGAGAGAATCTCTTTGGAGAAGGGAGGGAGGTTGCTGCTTCCCTTAAATGTACAACAGTTGCCCCACACTTTGTATAAAAAGCCTTTAATCCTCTCAGTGGCCTCTTCACGAGCCCCTTTATGGCAAACTCCTTCTACCAAGTCTTCCTAGAAGGGCTTCAGAGCAATGCAAAATAAGGCAATGCTGTCATGTCACTCTGAAACCACCTCAGGAAGTGTGGCAGGAGGGAGGGAGGAAGCAGCCAGCCACACTTCCTGGTGTGGTTCCATTGTGACATGACACTCCGAAGACCTTCTAGGAAGTGTAAATTGGCATGGAGGGGACATGTGTTCCTGTGAACTTTTCAATGCCCTTCTTTTAAAAGAAAGAGCAAAACATGAGAGGCCGTGGCCACCTCATATGTTTAACAGCAGCAGCAGCCACAGCCCAGGCAGGAAGTGAGGAAGGGACCTTCCTTAAACTTCAACGAGCTACAGTTCTCAGAGTAGTTTAACAATCAACTCTGGGAATCATAGCTTTGTGAAGGGAATAACTCTCTCCTAACGACTCTCAGCGCTCTTAACAAGCTACATATAGCTCCCAGAATTATTTGGGGGAAGCCATGTTTAAAGCAGTATCATAGCAGTTTAAACTTATGGTGTGAATGTGGCTTA